ATATGATGACGACGAAACGTTGTTGATGTTGGTCATGATGCTGGTAATGATGCTATTGCTGTTGTAAGCGATGCTGATAATGATGATATAGACAATAACGATAATGATACTGATGTCGGTAATTGTAACGGTTATATCGATGATAATGATAACGGTTCTTTCGAAAATGCTAACGCTTCAATCGGTAATTATAACGATTCAGTCGGTAATTATAACGGTTCTACCGGTAACTATAAAGGTTCTATCGGAAATAATAACGGTTCTATCGATAATTATAAAGATTCTGTCGGTAATAATGACGGTTCTGTCGGCAATTGTAACGGTTCTGTCGGTAATTGTAACGGTTCTGTCGGTAATTATAACGATTCTGTCGGTAATTATAACGGTTCTACCGGTAATTATAACGGTTCTACCGGTAATAATGACGGATATATCAACAATTACTACATGAGTAATCATAGTAGCAGCCAAAATAGCGAATATCGAACCAGACCGAACCACAACAGTAACGTTTGTGATGTCGGTAAACCGGTTCGACCGACAGGCTTTAATGGAAATAAAACGAATGCCATAAAACAAGTTGGCGACTGTGATGACGTCACGTACGACGTCAGCGAGCAACAACAGCGACGTCATCATTATCATTATAAACAACAACAACAACTACTACTACTACTACAACAACAACCACAACAACAACAACGTCATCATTATCATTATAAACAACATCAACAACAACAGCAACAACTACTACCAAAACAACACCAAAAACAACCACAACAACTACAACAACGTCATCATCATCATCATCATTATAAACAACAACACCAACAGCAGCAACAACAACAACATAATTATCACAATCAGATACGTAATAGAGATGTCACGAATGACTGTCTGGTAGCTTCTGGAAGAATGGAAGATGTTGAAACTCTGAAGAAGATGATGAAGAAGATGACGACGATGATGAAGAACAAATTAATGATGAAGAATCACCACCATGATGCCAATGTTACGAAAGCCGTGATGATAACGATGTTACTGGTGATGACGGTGATAAAAATGGTGGTAATGGTGGTGATGATGATGATCGCCATCTTAATACGCCACCTCCTGATAATGATTACAGTCTAAAAAGAAGTAAAGTTATTGACGATAGTGGAATCCATCATCGTCATCTCCATCGGGGTTATGATGATGATGATCAACAACGCCATTTTGGGAAATTTCACGATGAAACGATCATCATTAGTGGTGGAGATGCTGATGACGAGACTATGAATGACGGAAGTAGGGATATTAATGAGCCGGAAGTGAAAGACTATAAATATCAAATAAAAAAACATAATTACAATAGCATTACTGGCGGTAAAGTCGCCATCAACCAAGGTGATGATGATGATTTGAAAGCCGATGATGATAATGATAACTCCGATGATGGTGGTGATAACGATGATGCCAAAGGTGGTGATGGTAATGATGACGCTGATGACGATGACGTCACAGATGATGATGACGTCAGAGATGGTAATTCTAATAATGATAACCATGATGATGGTGATGCAAAATATACAGCCACCAAAAGTAATGATGATATAAGTGCTAATGATAATAAGAATGATGACGACGATGATGACGTAGTTGATGACGCAAGAGCACGTGACATATCGACCGGAATGGACAGCCCTTATAGAGATTCTACTGACAGGAAAAGACGTCAAATTAACAACTGGACAGCGGAAATACGGACCAATCATGTCTACATCCATCAACAACCACAACAGCCACAGCAACATCAACAACAACAACATCAACAACAACAACAACAGCAACAACATCAACAACAACAGCAACAACATCAACAACAACAGCAACAACATCAACAACAACAACAACATCAACAACAGCAACATCAACAACAACAACAACAACATCAACAACATCAACAACAAAAGCATCAACAACAATGTAGGTCCGGGACTCGTGCCAATTTCCTTCCTACACAACATTCAGACGTTGATGAAGTGGCTGCTCTCGCCACAAAAACAACCTCGGCGTCATTATCATCATCATCATCATTAACATCATCAACGTCGTCGTCGTCGTCATCATTTTCGAGATTGAACCAAGATAGGAACACTGCTATCCTCTTTCGATCAACTGACTCTTATTTTTTTCATTCGCCGATTACCACAGCCACTACTACTACCTCTACAACAACCACTACTACCACTACTATTACAGCCACTACTACTACCACTACTATTACAGCCACTACTACTACCACTACTACAGCCACTACTACTACCGCTACTGCAGCCACCACTTCTACTACTACTTTTACTACTACTACAATTGACGCTGCTACAATGGGTAATGCTACAAACAACATAAATACAAATGGCAACTATGGCAAGATTGCAACTGGCTGTAAAAACGCTCGAGTTGTCGAAAATAATAAAAATATTATAATTAGAAATGATCAAAGTATAATTAGTAATAATACTAGTTGTAATATTACTGTAGCTACTACAACTATTACAACTACTTCAGCTACTCTCGTTACGACAGCTACGACAGTTTCTGCAGTTACGACAGCTACCGCAGTTGCGACAGTTACCCTTGCTAATACTGCTTCTACTATTACTTTTGATCAAGAAATTTGGAAATAATTTAAACGGGTTGGATTGTAGTTTGATCAAAACAACAACAACAACAACAGCAACAACAACAACAGCAACAACAACAGCAGCAACAACAACAACAGCAACAACAACAACAACAACAACAACAAAAACAACAACAACAACACGATCAACTACGCCACAGTTGTTGCAAAAATCCACAGAAGCCTTACAAAATAACTCAAACGTGTTGCAAAACAACTCAACGACGTTGCGAAATGACTCAAACGTGTTGGAAATAGATTCAAAAATGTTGCGAAACGACTCACTCATGTTGGAAAATGTCTCAAACGCGAGGGCAACAACATTAACGTCAGTGTACGTCAGCGATGAGATCTCTACCTTGACAAATTGTTGTTTTTATAATGCGAATACTTATCCAACAAGCCAATCAATCTGGAGAACGCAGA